TAATATAAATCATTAATATTTTCCAGTACAAAATAATATGAAGATTCAAACATGTTTCAAGAAATCAGCTCTGACTATAGATATAAAGGAATTCCGTCAAAGGTTAGAGACCTAAAACTTTTATCTCTTTTCACTCTTTGAATAATAATTAAATATAACAGCCTTCAGCAATAAGATACTAAGGATACAAAATCTAAAAGCACACTAATATAACCTTAATTTCAGTATTTCCTCAAGAAAAGCTTTATATTCACTGTCTGTGGATGGAAAAGTTAATATTACCCTAAGAGGTTTCATTTTTATCTAAACAGTTAAATGTTTTTCTCACTTTTCACAGAAGCAAGTTTCTATATTTAATTACTAACTGGGGCTATTTCATGAAGAGCAGTCACTTCTAAATTTAAGATACTACACCTTTTGATATGTTCATAAACACAGGGACCCCCCAATTATCTACGTTTTTATTTTATCTTGGTCCAAATTTGTGAGCAGAGTCTATTAAGAAAGCCACAACTTAAGGCTCTGAGTTTCAAACTTTTGGGTTATTTTTACACTAAAAGATCTCGGTATACTCCTCTAGATTTGAGTAGTCATTTCCTCATGCATCCCTCTAAAACAGAAAAAAGATATACACATGTACCTAATACTAATGCATACAGATATATATCTTTTCCACTTTGAAACGAGTTTGAAAGCTTTAGTTAGTAAAAAATTTTTCAATAAGTTAGCAGAATCAAAACAATCAAAACTTAACCATGACATCTGCTATCTGTTAATGAGACTACAGAAGAATCTAGGAATTTAAATATTCACTAAAATCAACTACCATCAAGTCAACAGAGAAAAAAAAAAAAACTTTAATAAGGGATACACCTTTCACAAGATCTACAAAAGGAAAAATGATCTTTTTCTTGAATTATGAGAAACTGCCTAGGCAGCATTTTTTAAACAAAGCTTCAAAACTGTAACAAAGAGCTTTTTGGTAACCACAGCAGAACTAAAAAAAAAAAAAAAAAAATCATAAGGTATTCGGGGTGTATATTTAATGCACTCATTTCCCAAATGATATGGAAAAAGTTAACATTTTAAAGACAGAAGCTTCTGTCCACGTATTAATTCGTTGCCTATCTCAACAACTTAACATCTGCACGGCTTCTAACAATTTACAAAGAACTTTCTCATGTATTATCTCATTTGATCTTACTGAAAAAAAGTACAATTTTGCCTAGAAAACGGACAAAATTAAAGCGAGTTCATCAAATTTTCTACACATTCCTAAGTTTTTAAACTTTGATGTAAAACTTTACAAGCCACCACAGTAGCATGTTATTTCCAGTGATAAATCAATTTACCTAACACTAAGAAGAGTTTCAAAGGACCATGTGCTGCAAATGCTTTTACATTTATGGAGTTATTATTAAGTATTACTAATGGACATATCAGCAATGACCTATATCCACAGATATAACTTTGCTTATAGTTCAAGAATCTCAGTCTTTGGAGGCCGACTCAAAAATACATCAACCATATGTATTTATAAAGTAGAGGACCTAAGAATTTATCTATTAGGATCACTGTCCATAGATTTGAGAAGAAAATAAACACGAAAAGTCTAAAATTTTCTCCATACATATCTCCCTTTCCAAAATCTCAAGTACTCTGTATCTTATTTGTATTAATATTGTAAGGATATTCACAAAACCCAAAATCTCGAGTTGTACCAACTACTTTTGTTTATAGCCACTGCATATATATATATTTTTTAATGTCTTCAACACCCCCACTCACCTATATAAGACTAACTTCTCTTCAAAATGAAATAATTTTAACAGCACTCTGTACCTAAATGCAGCATCCGTAAGCTATCCACAATAACAAATCTACTTTGTGTAATATTGTAAACGCAAAAAAGCAGTCAAAAATTTCAGTTTTGAACAGCAAATGTAATTTATTAACGGAATTTTTAAATGGACTTACTCAAAATCTCTCTAGAACTTTAAGGTGTTAATTCTGTTGCTTAGCTGAAGCTAAGTAAAGCTGTAATAAGTAGCAAAACCCTCAAAATTCAGAGATTTGCTTTATCTTGCTGTAGCACCTCCTGCTGGATAGTATTTAGAGCTCTTCATGTAAGCAGAAGAAGAGTATTTCTGAGGCAGCTCCTTCCAGATGACTGAATGAGAAAAAGGATGGACCCTTCAAAGCTAAATGAAATAGGGCCCCGTCCATCACTTATACCTCTTAAAAATAAAATCTGACACAGACAGGGGTCTTTTTAATCTATTACTATTCCAGTTCCATAAAGACATGCCTGACTCCAAAGCGCAAAATACTTAAATAAAACTTGCAAAATTATGTAAAAACTATGTTAAAAATCCTTCAAAGGCACTCAAAGAGTGTTATAGCCAGCCAAGCAATGCCAGTCACACTGCAAATATTATTATGTTAACAAAAAGCAAAAGTCTGACATAAAGAAAAGCACCTAGAATATTTCTAACATATGAGTCAGAAGTTTGTGTTTTGAGAATTTTCTGCACTATTACTATGCTTTCCACATAAGGATAGTTGTACATCCAAAGAAGTTTTAAATAAAAAAAAATTAATAATTGAATGTAACTGCACACAAAAATTTCCTCTTTGCCATCAAAAGGTTATGTCCTGAGATTTTAAAATGAATGCATTCTTCACACATTTTAAACAGTCCCTAATAAGCTTGTTTTAAGCCTACGATGTAGATCCTATATACAAATAAAGGCAGAAAGAGAATAGGAAGGAACTTACCAAAATCGAAATGAATAATAGTATTTCCAGTAAAAATGTAGTAACAGCTTCCTACAATACTGTGGAACCAAGTAAATTGTGAAACTTAAAAAAAGGGGAGGGGGCTAGCCTTCAAAACCAAAAGAAAAGCTGACCTATTTAATTCTACTGACCAAACATGAGTGAACACCAAATGTAAACAAACAACATAAACACAGAAAAATACACTCAGATGTCTTAGCCCCAATTTCAGCTTCTTTCCCAAGCCCTAAATGAAGCTAAAGAAGTTGATGAATATCCTCTATAAAAGGAGATATTGCATCTCCCCGCCCTAAAGAACCTCTATAAAGTATGCCTATGAAAAGGCATTCTTCCTAGAGTGCACAACTGCTTAAAAAAAAAAATAAAAAAAACCCAACTTTCATCAGCCCAAATTAATCTGATTCTAATATTCAGCTATCAATTATTAATATATAAATGTTCTTCCTTCTCTAAAGTCCCCAGCTAAAGCATCTACATTCCTGACACCTACTATTAACAAAAATGTACAACTCCCTCCCTGGCTATGGGGGAAATCTTTGAAATCCAAAACATAGCCACAAAGTTCACTGTCAAGGCCAGTGCTGAGGCCCACACACGCCCGGACCTTAACTCGCATTTGAAATTCTAGAAAGCCATACATGCAGAGACATCATTTAAAAACAACACAATGTGGACGTGCAGAGTGAGATCCTCTACTTCAAGATCTAAACAAAGAATATTTCAACATAAGACCGGAATATGATGACACCAGATTCACCAATGAAAACAAAACCTGCCTACCATTAGTAGTCGTATCCTCATCTCAACAACTCAACTACTTAGAAATCACTCTCAGCACATCTGCACCCCACAACCGGCGTGTGGCCTTCTCCGGGGGTGCAAGCCACAGACAAAGTTGAAAGGAGACATTCTTCCCCCGGTGCCCAATCTCCATACCAACCCCTCCCTTGCCAGGGCCACCTTGCTGCTACCCACCATCGCGAACGTGGTCAGGGAAAAAAAAGAAATCCTAACAGCACCGCTCAGCAGAATAAAGAGACCAAAGAGAGGATGACGAGAAGTGTTGGGAACTGCGTGCACGACGGGGCTGGACCAAACGGAAAGAGTCCCACTCCGCGCGCCCCTCCCCCCGGCGGGGGCGCGGGCGGGGGAGGGGCGGCCGCGGCCCCT